AGGCACTCCTAAAGAATGATCCTCTATACCACTATTTATCCACCTCCACACTGTCCTCTAGGCTTGAGACAAGTGAGTTTCCTTGACTTCAGAATCCATGACATTCTTAGAACACTCTAGACTTTATGATACATCCACTGTCCCTATCAGGTGTGATCTGATCCCTTCACTATGACCCCAGCAGCACTTGGTGTTCAGACTACACAGAACTTCATTCATAGTCTAACAATTGTTATCATCCAGTGACCAGGACAAGCCTAAATACCCTCAACTGGGATACTTCCAAGCTCTAAGATATAACCAGGACACCCTTCCTGTGATCACCCACAGAACCCTTCTGGTATGCATCCATCAACTCACTCGAAATATACTTGTCTAGGGTCTACGATGGGTCCCATATCCCATGCTCCAACCTTGAGAATACCATACCCAAGGTCAAGGATTTCACCAACACCTGTCTTCCCTGTATACCGCACAGGTGGCCTTCATCCACTACCTCATTAGGTATCAATATTTCCCATGTCCTCCTGAAAAGCAAGGAAAATGCGTGCCTTTGGTGTTCCCACCAAACCATTCTGTAACCCAATAGATGTAGCCTTTGTCCCAAGTCCTTCTCATAGTCCTACTATGTCCACCCCCAGTGGCAAAGGAGCCAAGGCCTAGGTTTCCACCAAACCAGTCATAAGTTCCTTCTGTTTCCCTTAACCATGTCCCTCCTTACCTATTTGTGATTACTATTCTTAATTATCAACTAACTACATCTGATATTACCTAAAAATCCAAGTCACTGAGCAAACCTGTTAACTGGATCATTTGAGGTAGGAAGTCCCACCTTAAATCCAGATCATTTTATGTGGGAAGACTTACCTATATTGTGGGGTAGAATTGGGCGTGGCTGCCTAGGTAAAAGACATGGAAGAAAGAAATTACTGCTCTTTTCTTGCTTGCCCATGATCTTGATTCAGTGGCATTTGGGCCTACACAGGGATTTTTAGTTAACTGGATCATCTGAGGTAGGAAGTCCCACCTTAAATCCAGATCAATTTAGGTGGGAAGACTTACCTATGGTGTGGGGTAGAATTGGGTGTCGCTGCCTAGGTAAAAGACATGGAAGAAAGAAATTATTGTTCTTTTCCTGCTTGCCCATGCTCTAAAGTCCCTGGCATAGAGCCTACAAAGGGATTTTAGTTAACCGGATCATTTGAGGTAGGAAGTCCCACCTTAAATGCAGATCACTTTAGGTGGGAAGACTTACCTATGTTGTGGGGCAGAGTTGAGCTTGTTTGCCTAGGTAAAAGACAAGGAAGAAAGAAATTATTGCTCTTTTCCTGCTTGCCCTTGCTCTTGCTTCACTGGAATTAGAGTCTACGTCTTTGGGATTTAGATGCCTACTGAAGACCAGCTGAAACAATCAGACCTGTAGAATGAACACCTCCTGTATTCCTGGAACTTCAATTGTAGACAGCCGTTGTTGGACTAGTCGGATTACAGCCTGTAAGCTACTCTAATATATCCCACAAATACATGCAGGCTTCATTTTGTATGTCCTAACTTAAACATTCAAGGTTTATTCCTGCAACCATATCTAGTCTTGATGCCATAGCCTGTGCCATCTACTAATATGACTCTAACTGTCTGTGCAACAGAGACCCGCAGACTTCAGCCATGTTCATATAATTTACTCATTAGTATTCTGACCAACACTGTCTACACTCAGGCCAATCTCTAGGAATCTACCACTACCAGACTTACCTGCAACCACCAATGGGTCTCCTTGGTACTGTCTCTATCCCCATAAAATGGACACAGAATTCACATGTCATTTTCAAAGTTCTATCATGGGTCCCACAGCCCCAGCTCTATCAAATTCTGTCAACCCAATCAAGCTCTAGGCCTCAAACATGAAATGCCCTACCTGTAACCATACTCAGGCACTCCTAAAGTATGATCCTCTGTACCACTATTTATCCACCTCCACACTGTCCTCTAGGCTTGAGCCCAGTGAGTTTCCTTGACTTCAGAATCCAGGACATTCTTAGAACACTCTAGCCTTTGTAATGCATCCACTGTCATAGCCTAGTCTGACCACACCCTGACTTCTCAGCAGTTAAGCTCTTTAATTTGTCCACACCTACTTAGCTGCAATCACAGACAGACATATTTTGTCCCTTTTCCCTCAGTTTACTTTTCCCCCTGGTCTTAGCACATCCTCTATTATGTAGCCTGGTCCCTTCTCTGTAATTTCCATGAACACATTTACTACCCAGACATCCCAAGTCTTCCTCATCTGACCAGATCTTGCAGACACAAACAAACAGTTGTGTGAAACAGGGAAATCAATTCAAGATAGGAAACTAGCTAATGGTCTCTCAATCTGGATTCCCTCCTCACATAATAAACTCTAAATCTAGACACAGGGAGAAAAACACAGAGAGAGGGAACAACCAAATTAGGAACATCAAAATAGAAAAAAGGAGAAAAATAGAGCAGTGATCGAAGAAATTCATAGGAGCTTCAGGACATATGTTGAAAAAGTCTATCGCCCTAAACATGAGAATCTCAAATAAATGGATCAAAATAGGAACCAAATTGAGAAATGTGTCAGTGGTAGTGGCTTGAAAGAGAGTGTCCTTCCTAGGCTCCCGTATTTGAATGTTTGTTTCATAGTTGGTGGCCCATTTGGGAAGTTTTTGGAGATAAGGATTTGCTGGAGGAAGTATTTTACTGAGGGCAGGTTTTAACAGCTAAATTACTACTGCCAATTTTTTTCCTACCTGCTTCACTGTGCTTGTGGTCCAAGATAATAGCTCTCAGCTTCCGTCTCTTACTCTGTTACCTGTTGCCTACTGTCATTCCTCCCAGACATGATGGACTTTTATCATCAGGGACCACAAACCCAAATGAACTTTTACTTCTGTAACTTGTATTGGTACTGGTGTTTTATCACCAGTGTTCAAGGAATCCCACAGAAAAGAAACTGAAAAATGTAAGAGCCATAGGGACTCACATGAACTCATAGAAACTGAAGCAGCATGCACAGGGCCTTTTCTAGTCTGTACCAGGTCCTCTGCATTTAAAGTATGTTTTCCAAATTAGTAATTTTATGTAATACCTGAGTGTGCAAACTTATGATTCTCTGACTCTGTGACTTCTCTTTGGATCTTTTCCTTC